TGTCGGTGGAGAAGTCCACGGTGCTACAGTCCGAGCTTGAATCCTGTAAGGAGCTGCAGGAACTGGAACCTGAGAATAAATGTGAGGCTCCATTCTCTGAGCTCCTGTCCCCCTCAGAAGGCCCCTTTCCAGGGTGGTCCCTTGGGGAGAGCACAAGGGGTCTGAAGAGATAGGACAGAGGAGGATCCAGGAGAGACTGTCCTTTCCCCTGCCCTGTCCCCAGGGTGCCTGCTCACTATCATCCTGCTGATGCGGGCGCTGGACCCCCTACTCTATGAAAAGGAGACGCTGCAGTACTTCCAGACCCTCAAGGCAAGTGGGGCCTGCGGGAACAGGCAAGGGGGAGGCCCAGTGCGCAGGAGGAAGGCAGCTACTATGCATTCCTTGCCACCTTGTCCCCGCCAGGCCGTGGACCCGATGCGGGTGGCATACCTGGACGACCTGCGCAGCAAGTTCCTGCTGGAGAACAGCGTGCTCAAGATGGAGTACGCCGAGGTGCGCGTGCTACACCTGGGGCACAAGGTATGGGCTGCCCGTGCACCTTCCCTGGCCCTCAGCTCGCTGCCCTCCCTGCGTCCTCAGGACCTGGCCGGCTTGCATACCCACTGTCCAGGCTCCAGCTGAGGCACCTCTCTCTGGCTGCACCAGCCCCTGGCTTTGCCTTCAGTCTCGGGGGCCCGTGTGGACATTCCTTCCTCTGCCCATTCCCATGTTTCTCTCCCTGGAGCAGGCCCCAATACCTAAAGCCTGAATATTTCCAGAGATTTCTGACAAACTTTCCAGACTCTGATTTTCCTCTATTTGTAGTCCTTCCCAGTCAGTCTTCCCAACACGTTTTATCACGTCGTGGCAACCCGCCTCTGCCCCCACCAAACTGATCCCCCAGACTTGCCAGGCCCGCTTCTGCCAGTATCCGCGTTTACCCAGCACCCTCCTCAATCCCCTGTCCCTGCCCCCACTCCATCCACTCCACTGCCCACCCCACCCCCAGCACGCACATCTGTCCCCTGTCCTTGACGTGGAGCACGCACTGCTGTGGGTTGTAAGGTAAGCTTCCCACCTGCTCCATCGTCTCCTCAGCTGGGAACCCCAAGGGCCTGTGTGGGGCACAGAGGGCAAGTGCCTGATGGACGATGGCCGAGGACCCTCCCCTGGTCTCCTTGGGTGTCTCATCCCCCTTCCGCAGGATCTGACAGTGCTCTGCCATCTGGAACAGCTGCTCTTGGTCACTCACCTTGACCTGTCGCACAATCGTCTCCGAGCCCTGCCCCCAGCCCTCGCCGCGCTGCGCTGCCTTGAGGTACAACCCTCACTCCTCTCTCATTCTCCTGGGTGGTCCTTTTCCCGTTCCTCCACCTCAGAAATCTGCCTACCCTACAAAGAGATGTCCCGGTCCTCCCAGCCCCTGCAGATGACCCTGCCTTCCCCCCTCCGTCACCCCACCTGACCCCAGGAGCCCTTCCACGCAGTGTAAGCTGATCACCCTGGGCTCCCCGGCTGCTTATCCCAGTCCCAGGCTGACAGCTGCCTGCCCTGCCTTGTCTTCCCTGCCGTTCCTGCTCCCCAGGTGCTGCAGGCCAACGATAACGCCATAGAGTCCCTGGACGGTGTCACTAACCTGCCCCGGCTGCAGGAGCTCTCACTGTGCAACAACCGTATCCTTCCTTCTGGGCATCTCTTAGACAGCGGGTAGGGTGAGGTGCCACACTGGGAGGGGACAGACAGCAAGCAGAGTGGGTCCCCCCCCGGGGGAGTGGGAGCAGGGCTCTGGCACTCTAGGCTAAGGAGAGGGGATAGCCTGGGGCTGGACGGGCCATCCTTGACTTGCACTCGTGGAGTTTTGCAGGGTGGAAGTGGCTCCTCAAGCCAGAGTTCACAAATGGGCAGCCTGCAGATATTCCTGGGTACCACGTAGTATTTTAAAAATCAAGAAGTTAAATATTTTAGAAACCTACAATTCTGATTCCTCTTAAAAATTGGAAGTTGAAAGCAGCCTTTGGGCTGCATTTCCACTCGCCAGGCTGTGGTCATCGCCGAGTTGTGGATGCCTCTTTAGCCGGGGCTAGCTTTTCTCTTGGCCATAGTCTCCACCCCACCTTCTTGTACCACACCCAGCCTGCCTCCTGTGCTTCCTGCCTGAGCCCTGTGGGCAGGGGTTTGCAGTCCCTGCCCAGAGCCTTACTCCCTCCAGGGGAGCATGCAAGATGCCCATCAACCAGGCCACCAGGCAGCAGTCCCTGCTCTTGAGCGAAGACAGTGCTGGATGCACAGGAGCGGACAGATCTGGGGGAACCTGCCAAGCTTTCCTTGACTCTCCTGCCCAAGGCCTCCAGCAGCCTCCAGCGCTCCAGCCTCTTGCCTCCTGCCCCAGGCTGGTCCTCCTCAATCTGCAGGGCAATCCCCTGGGCCAAGCAGTGGGCATCTCAGAGCACCTGGCCCAGCTGCTGCCTTCGGTTAGCAGCATCCTCACCTAAGAGACCCAACCCCACCCTTGCCCTTTAACTTATTGGGATGGAATAAAGGATGGGGAAGCCCCCTCAGGCTGCTGCTGCGGCTTCCACCACCACTGTTACTCCTGCCACCTATTTTGGAAAAGAACGGGAGAGGGTTAGGGTGGGTCGGCTCACCTCTCCACTTCCATTTTATGCTGAGTCCTGCTGTTCCCTGTCATGGAGAACCAAAGCCTCAGTGTTTGGGGCAGAATCTGAGTTTACCTCTTGTTTTGGGCTGGGGACGGGTCCAGGTTCCAGGCTGGGATCAAGTTTGGGTTCAGGTTCTGGTTGGGGCTGGGCTACAAGGCAGCTGTAAGGCTCTCCCATGACCCCTGCCCCTGTCAGATGCCCTCTCTGCCCAGAAGCCCTGGCTCTCATCCACTGCAGCTGAGAAGGCTGTTCCCAGAAGGGGTGGGTCAGGGGGCCCCTGCTCCACCCTCTTAGAACATTGAATAGCATTCTCCCATTAAAGAGCCTTTGAAAATACTTGATCCCATTTGATCCTCACAAGCTCTCAGGGATGCAATGATTAGGCTCATTGTTCTGATGAGGAAACTGCTGCTGGGATGCGTCCAGTGTTGCTGAGCTCAAGTGCTGGAGCCGAAGCTGTCTTGACACCTGGGTCTGGCATTCCAGACTCGCTTTCTTGCCTCTGTATTGATATGGAATAATTGAGCAGAGCCTGGCCTCAGCTCCCTGAGGCACTGAGCCCGGAGTCTGCTCCCGTGGTCTCCCCCCTGCCCCCACGAACACGTGAGCGAGCGTGCACACACCAAGTCCTGACTTTGAAAGCCCTAAGGCACTGGAGCCTCCCGGAGGGGGAAAGGGGAGCGGCTCTGGGGTTAGGGCACTGAGTCAAACCTGGCTGGGTGGGGAAAGAGGAAGATTGATTGAAACAAGAGGGAGAGAGTGTGACAAGGCATTTTTCTAGTTTTCTGGGAATCGACCTGGACCCATGTGCTCACACACGTCCGGATCCTCAGGGCCCTCCTCCTTTCTGTATCCATAGTGATACACAAACAGCCCCTCAGTGGAGCCCTCTGGCTGACCAGCCTCACACCTGCCTGGAATTTTGATCTCTGCTAGCGTGTCCTCTGAGAGTGTTGGAGGTGGGGGCAGACCCCTTGCCAGATCTGGGGCTGGGAGCTGGACAGGAGAAGGTCAATGTGGGTGTGGAGGGCTCCCTGCCAGGTCCTGGAGCCTCTGTCCCCAGTCCCCAAGGCCCCTCCCTGCCTGATGCATCACTGGACTCAGCCTCTGCTCAAATCAGCTTCCTTGTGTCTTCTTGCCAACCCCGTTTTTCACTGTCTTCTGTTCAGTGGCCCATGGGCAGAGCTGGGATACCAGTGGGATGGAGGAAAGAGACCCCAAGAACAGGGCCCCAGCCCTCCCAAAGAACTCCCAGAAGAGCCTCCCTGAAGATGCCCAGCTCCTCCTTGCATTGGGGCGCTCTCGGTGGCATCCCTGGTGTTTCTCCCAGTGCCAGGGTGGAGCCGGGATGCGCACAGGAACCAGGAGCTAGTTGGTCAGGATTCCCAGGAAGAATTCCAGGTTGGAGAATCCTGGACTCCAGCTGCCCAGCTGCTCCTCTCAGTGAGAGAAGGGGTACTCTGCAGGCTGGGGAGGGGGCCTCAGTTCCCACCCGAGCCTCGGAGCAAAGCCTCAGCCTCCTCAAAGTCCCCAGGCCGCGAGAACAAACAAGAGCTTTCTCCTACTCTGCCCCCCAATTTAAACTTGGAGGGACACTGGAAGCTGGGGGCAGCTCACTCATGCCAGGGGCTGTGGAGCAGCTGGAGGAAGAACGAGGAAGGACAGATGGGCGGGGGGTCAGAGGATCCGGTAGAGCCGGCAGGTCAGGGGCTGGCTGGTGGAGCCAGTCTGAGGGCCCGGCTGCTGATGTCACCAGTCTGCAGCTTGGGATCTGGGGACCTCCCTGGGCAGGATCAGGCCCAGGCCCAGGCCCATGGGATGGTTTCAGGGGCTGAGCCCCGCTCGGGCTGCATGGGTGGCTGACAGCAAGACTCCATGAAAGCAGAGGCAGGCAGCCTGAGCTTGGGAACAGAGGGGCTGCTGGATAGGGGTGTGGTGGAAAGGGCTCGCTGCCCCACTGCCCTCGGGTCGGCTCCGCCCAGGAGGAGGGGCTCCTTATGCCCCAGCCCGGCAGGAATCAGCCTGATGTGGGGTCCCTCAGACGGGGCAGTCTCACCAAGGCCCTCCACTTTCACTCAGCTTCAGCCCTGACAGACCCAGCCCCCGCCCCCTCCCGAGCCCCGGCCCCACCCTGCATCCTCAGGTTTCCACGATTTCTGGGTTCCTCGAAAGGGGAAAGAGTGCAGCCAAGCCTCGTTTCCTGCCCCTAATCTCGCCTATCTCGGAAGACAGCCCCCAGAGGCCAGGCCTCCACCCCCCGATGAGGGATGGAGCAACCACGCTTCCCCTTCTCCCCAGCAGCTTGGCCCCGCCCTCCCCCCCCCCCCCCATAAACCACTTACCGGCCCGCCCCACACCTTCCACTCGCGCGGCAGCGTCCTGTCCGTCCGCCCCGTCCCGTCAGTCCCGACCTGTTCCACCCCGGCCGCAGGACTCAGCGCTGCCGTTGCCAACACCGCCGCCAGGTGAGGGCCTCCGACGGGCACCGCGGTGCTGAGCCCCGGCGACGGCGATGCCGTCTGGGGGCCACGCGGAGGTCGGGCCCCTGCAGGTGGGGTGCGGGCCAGCCCGAGCCTGTCGCCCCCGCTAGGCTGCCCCCGACGCCCGCCCAGAGACCTGCGGCCCTCCGTCTCTCCCGGCAGCTCCGTGATGGCGTTTGACCCAACGTGGGGAATGCCAAGGACCCCAAGCCCGGCATGTCACCCGCCTATCTTTCGCAAAGAGCCTTGGGTGGGGTATTTGTGCGAAGAAATGGGTCCTAGAGGCGTCAGCCCTTGGACCTCTAGACTGAAGAGCCGGCAGATGGAGGAAGCAAGCCAGGGGATGGTCTGCACCGCTAGGTTTTTGAGGCTGTGACAAGTGCCTACGCTATTCCTGGGACGGGTCCTTGAGCAGGTTTCTGTCTTGGGCGTCTGGTTTGGTGGATGTCTCTGTGGGACTGAGAGGGGGAATACCTTCTCTACGGTGCTGGAAGTTTCTCTAGGTGATTCTGAAAGGAGTCTCTGGGGAAGGTCTCTGGATGGGTCTGGGGGAGTCTCTGGGTCAACATCAGATCATCTCCATCGTCTGGCTGGGACTGAATCAGCTCTCTGGATGGAGGGTCTCCCGGTGGGCTGGCTGGGGCATCCTGGGTACAGGAGGTCTGAGCGGAAGATCAGAGCCTCCCCTGCCTCTTCCACGTAGGCATGACGGATGGTCCTCGTTCAGACGTGGGCCGCTGGGGCGGGAACGCTTGGCAGCCCCCCACCACGCCTTCTCCGGAGCCGGAGCCAGAGCCAGAACCAGACAGTCGTTCTCGCCGAGGAGGCCGTTCCTTTTGGGCTCGCTGCTGTGGCTGCTGCTCCTGCCGGAATGATGACGACTGGGGGCGTGAGCCCTATAGAGACCGAGGGTCTGGCTCCAGAGGTCGAGGATCCCGTTCTGGAGGTCGAAGACCTGACTCCCGGGGCTCTGACTCCCGCCAGCCTGGCTCCCGGGGCAGCGGTGTGAACGCAGCTGGCGATGGCACCATCCGAGGTGAGGCTGACCTGTCCACCTTAGCTAAGAGCTGGAAGGCCTTAACTGAGCCTGGGACTCATCCTGGCATCTCTGGGGGCCTGGGAGGCTAATGTTGGGGGCCTGGACGCCCCGTGGGGCTTCACTGACCCAGAGCTGTGGCCTTGCAGAGGGCATGCTGGTGGTGACCGGCGTGGATCTGCTGAGTTCACGCTCGGACCAGAACCGCCGAGAGCACCACACGGATGAGTTCGAGTATGATGAGCTGATTGTGCGCCGCGGGCAGCCCTTCCACATGGTCCTCCTCCTGTCTCGTCCCTATGAGTCCTCCGATCATATCGCCCTGGAGCTGCTCATCGGTCAGTGGGACCTGAGTGGGAAGGGTGAAGGCCCTAGACTGGCGGGGGGCCTGGCTAGCAGGGCCCCCTAGTCCTAATATTAGGATCAGAGGGCGTCTTTAGGCTCCTCCTCCACCCCACTCTTCACCTCTGCCAGATAAGCAGGTGCAAGTATGTGAGTGTGTCTCTAGGGATGTGTCTCAGGGAAGGTCTTGGCGTCCCCATTTTCCTAAGCTCACCCTCTTCAAGCCTCCAGGAGCTTCTGTCCAAAAACACTCTCTCTTGTGTCTCGATCTTGTGTCAGCATCTCCTTCAGTGTTGCTGCCTCTGTGCATCTTTCCTTCTGGGTCTGCTCTCCTTCCCCCGGGTGTGGCTGGCTCTCTCTGTGCTCTCGGTCCAACTCTGTCTCTCTGTATCTCCATCCCCATGACCCAGGGCAGGTGCCTCCCTCACCCCTCACCACGTTGCATGGTGGCCATGGACTGCCCAGGCTGGTGATTATGCTGCTGCTGGGGGCGGGTGACTCCTCGTACCCCTTGATTAGGGCCTAGCCTCATCCAACCCAGCCTCTAATTTCCCAGATACCCCCACCACCTCCACCAGGGATGCCCTGGGCTCTGGAAGCTGCAGCCCCGGGGAACAAGCAGGGCTGGCCTTCAGGATCTGAACTGCCCTTTCATGTGGGGTGGGGGCATCTGGACCCAGCCAGGCGGAATAGTCAGGCAGGCCAAGGGTGACCTACCCATTTCTGAGTTCAGTGTCGGGGGAACAGGTTTGGGATGTTGGACTTGGGCTTTGCCCTGACATGTGGGCAAACATCGGGTGGGGACAGAGCTACTCTCAGAGAGACTGTCACAGACTAAGGCGATGGCCCAATTCAGGGACATACACACACCGGCTCACACATTCTGGGTGGGGCTGGGAGAAGTCCAAGTCCCCATCCCCCCTCCTCAGGGAGGCCTCACCAGCTAATTGCCACTTCCCCCACCTCAGGAAACAACCCCGAGGTGGGCAAGGGCACCCACGTGATCATCCCAGTGGGCAAGGGGGGCAGTGGCGGCTGGAAGGCCCAGGTGACCAAGGCCAATGGGCAGAATCTGAACCTACGGGTCCACACTTCCCCCAACGCCATCATCGGCAAGTTTCAATTCACGGTCCGCACGCGCACAGAGGCTGGGGAGTTCCAGTTGCCCTTTGACCCCCACAACGAGATCTACATCCTCTTCAATCCCTGGTGCCCAGGTGAGCCAGCTGGAGTCAGGTCATGGGGAGGGCAGGTCAGGGCTTCCTTTCCTAGGATCCTGCTAGGTGCCTGGGTGCCTGGCCCTAGGAGAAGCCAGCCTCCCATTGTCCAGGTGATGGGACCTAGGTCCAGGGCAGAAAGATGACCCACCCAAGGTCACACAGCCTCACCTCCCCTGGTAAAGGGCTTTGGGTACACCCACCTTCTTCCTACCATCTGTCATGCAATGGCCCTTCCCAGGAGCATCCTGTCAGGCTAGAGGCAGCGTCCCCTCTCTTCCTCTGCGGACATGAGTCCTGCAGAATTGGCCCAGGGGCAGGTGGGGCTAGGACAGGGCTGGAGGGAACTAGACATGTGTGTTCTGGGGAAACAGAGGACATCGTGTACGTGGACCATGAGGACTGGCGGCAGGAATACGTGCTTAATGAGTCTGGGAGAATTTACTATGGGACCGAAGCACAGATTGGCGAGAGGACCTGGAACTACGGCCAGGTATGGGTGCCCAAGGCCGCATGCACTCAGGGGAGCTAGAGGCCAGCGGAGGGTAGTGGGAGAGCCGGTGCTGGCCTGGGGGTCGAGCTGGGCCACAGTGGGCCGTGGTCATCTGTGCCTTCCCTCCTTCCAGTTTGACCACGGGGTGCTGGATGCCTGCCTGTACATCCTGGACCGGCGGGGCATGCCCTATGGAGGCCGTGGGGACCCGGTCAATGTCTCCCGGGTCATCTCTGCCATGGTGAGCACCCTCATGTCTCTGAGCCCCCTCGTGTCTCTGAGCCCTACTCTCTGTCTGCCTGCTGCCTCCCCTGTACGCTTCTCCTGCCCTTTGTGATTCCTTCAGGACCCCAGCCCTGTCCCTTCCCTTGCAGAGGGTATTGTGGGGAGGGGTCTCACTTCTCTTCCCTGCATTGCCTGCCCCCACCCCTCCCTTCCTGGCTCCTGTCCCAGTTCTTGTGGAATGTAGGGCCAAACCCAAACTTGGCACACCCAGGATTCACATTCCTGTGTCAGACCAGGGATGGGGGGGGGGGGGGGGGGGCAGATCTGGGAGGGGTGGGCAGGGCTCAGGCTGCCTGCAAGATCCTGAGGCATTGGGGTGAGGGGCTGGGCTGGGGAACCACACGGCCTCTCCTCCAACTCCCCCCCACCCCATCCTGTCCTGGACAGGTGAACTCCTTGGATGACAATGGGGTCCTGATTGGGAACTGGTCTGGCGATTACTCCCGAGGCACCAACCCATCAGCATGGGTGGGCAGCGTGGAGATCCTACTCAGCTACCTCCGCACTGGCTATTCTGTCCCCTATGGCCAGTGCTGGGTCTTCGCCGGTGTGACCACCACAGGTAGTAGAGGGATGGGGAGAGGAGGAGGGAGGGAAGCCATGCTCCACCTTCACGAGTGAGCTGGGCCCAGCTGTGGCTACAGTGCAGGGGCAGGCCGGGGTGGATGGTAGGCTGGCCTTAATTACCATTAATTAGTGTTAATAACCGAGAGAGGCCTAGGGGAGAGGAAGGAGGAGGGACAAGCAAGGACAAGGCCAAGCAGGTGGACTGGCTTCCCCTAACCCCCAGCGTTCCCTGGCCCGAAGGCCTCCTGGCCCTGGTGACCCCTGACCCAGCTTGGCAACCCCAGTGCCCTTGTGCCCCTGCTGTTCCTGACTAGACACCTCACCTGGCCCCAACCCTGCCCTGTCCCCGGGCCCTGAACCCCAACCCTGGTTCCTCTGCAGTGCTGCGCTGCCTGGGCCTGGCCACCCGGACCGTCACCAACTTCAACTCAGCGCACGACACAGACACGTCCCTCACCATGGACATCTACTTTGACGAGAACATGAAGCCGCTCGAGCACCTGAACCATGATTCCGTCTGGTGAGGCTTGGGCCAGGGATGGACTGCCGTCCTTGCCGAGGATCGGTGACCTGAGGCCTGGGGGCCGAGGGGGTGCTGGGGAGGCCTGGAGGGACTGCTCAGACCCAGCCCTCCCTCCCGTCCATCCAGGAACTTCCACGTGTGGAACGACTGTTGGATGAAGAGGCCGGACCTGCCCTCAGGCTTCGATGGGTGGCAGGTTGTGGATGCCACACCCCAGGAGACCAGCAGTGGTGAGGCGGGGCCCCGCCTGGCTCCTGTACCCCACTTTGGCTCCTCCCAGCTCCCCAGCCTGAGTCACAAACCCCAGAGCATCAGTGCTGGGCTGGGCCTCAGAGCCAGCTCCTTTAACATCACGCTTCTTTCAGCTGGCTTATATATTTCCACCTTCCTATGTAACTGTTTATTTGCCTAAATTTTATTTATTTATAATTACTCAGATGGTTAATTACTCAGATGGTTCAAAAGTCACAAGATTCAAGAGACTTCAGTGAGAGGTTTCCCATCCCCACCAAATCCACTCTTCTCACTTGCTTTTTTTACTTAAAGGTCCTGGAGATAATTAATTGAAGGGCCTTCTTATTTACGTATTTTTTAAAGTTAGAAAAGAAAGTCGTTATTATAAGTGCTACATGCTGGGAAGAAAAAAAAAAGTATGGAATTGAATAACATAAATTGTAAAAGTTCCCTATGCTCTCTGAAGAGGTTTTTGTTTGGTTTTAAGTGAATTTCTGGGTCCCACCCCAGACCTGATACATCAGACAGTAGAGGGATGGAGTCTAGGAATCTCTATTTTTGAAAGTTCCCCTGGTGATGCTGAAGATCAGCTGGGTCTGAGACCCACTCCAAGCCCTCGTGGGACACGTGGGAAGTGGTGGCACAGAGAGGGGCAGTGACTTTCTCTAGGACACAGAGCACTAGATCAGCAGCAGAGCAAACCCAGTCCCTGGTTTTCTCCCTTTCTGACCCAAATTCTCGCTTTCGTCATGTCCTCTCCTGTCTGTTCCATTGCTCACTGTGAATTATATATACAGTATAGAAAAAATCAGGGTTCAGGTAGGTTTGAAGAAGAAAACAGCCCCGATAACCCAGCCCTCAGAGATAGTCACGGATGACATAACCTCTAGTCTCTTTTCTGTGTCCCCATACACGTTTCTGCAAAAATTAGACCTGTCATACACTTTGTTCTCAAGCCGGTGTCGTGTCCCCGTCCACCCTCCAGCCCCGGGCAGTGGGGCCTGCTTCCTTCTGGCCTCTTCCTTCCTCCCCCAGGTCCAATAGCCCATGCTGAGACTACGTTCCTCCTCTGGTCTCTGGCCAGACCCCTCCCTCTCAATCGTCTTCCCCCTGAGTTGTGCAACCCAGTGAGGCCTGCGATGCTGGAACAGCCCGGCCCAGGACCCTGGGAGATCTGAGTTCCCGCTCCCAATGGGGAAGTGGTGGGTGGGCGACAGGTGGGGGCTCTGGGGCCAGCCAGCCCTGGGCTTGATTCCAGCTTGATCACTTCTTAGATATGTCATCTCGAGCAAGTTCCTTGCACCTTTGGGCTCTGCTGTTTTTGTGTGTCATGTGGGGATAACATGTACCATGTAGGGTGATTGGGAGAATTGCATGGGATCCTCATGTATTAGAGAGACCAGCAGCATGCCTGGAATAGTCCCCACTCAGTAAATCTTAGCTCCTTCCATTCTCTCTGTATCGCACTGTCCTGTGAGATCCTGAGATCTGCTTTGCCTCGCTGAGCCTCAGTTTCCCCATCTTTAAAGGGGGCCATAGTGTTAGGTGTTTTCTAAGATTCTTTCCTGTTGGATGGTTCTCCCTTCATGTTCCATGTCCTCTCTTGCCAAGCCTCCTCCCCATCAGGCCATCTCCTCTAGAAAAACCTCCTGAGCACAAGGAGGACAGACTCTATATCCCACCAGCGCCATCCCCACCTCCCCACAGAGAGGACACAGCAGGCTGTAGAGCTGGAGGTTTGTTCTGGATTTTTCTGGAACGGTGGCTGCAGTGTCACTGCTCTCCCAGCCAGCAAGCAGAGCCACAAGAGGGCTCTGGGTTTGATTCAATGTAGGAGGGGAGGGTCCTGACCTCTGGGGGTCACAGATAGGCAATATCCAACCTCAGCCAGTGGAGGAAGAGTATACGACGACTTAGTGATCAAGGCAGGCGTGTCCAGGCCCCACGCACCCCCTGCTGCCTGAGGCCAAAGGAGACTGTGCTCTTCTTTGTTTTCCTTCCCCGGGTTGGACCAGGTGGCGCTGACCCTGAGGCAGGGGGCACTGGGCCTGGGTGGGTGGGCCTCTCCCCAGCATCTGAGGGTCCCTTTCGGTCTCCTCGGACCTCTCACCTCCGTCCTGCCCTCACTCCCCCAGGCATCTTCTGCTGTGGCCCCTGCTCCGTGGAGTCCATCAAGAACGGCCTGGTGTACATGAAGTACGACACGCCCTTCATTTTTGCTGAGGTGAGGCCTGTGCTCCGGGGACCAGAGCTCTGGCGTCCATCCTGGGTTCTCTGGTCCTGACTTCACCGCTGACTGACTAGCTGTGTGATCTTGGGCAAGTCGTTCTTTCTACGAGTCTTAGTTTCCTCAACTGTAAAAAAGAATATGTAATAATGGCTGCCGTGCTTCCTATACTCAGGATCAAAAGAAATAATGGGTATGAAACTGCTTAATAAGTCATAAAGCCAGTGAATGGGCATAAGGGATTACTGTCATTAATGCCCTAATGTGCTGCAAGGAGCCTCCCAGACCGGCTTCTTCCCTGCTCCCTGGTCTTGTCTGGCTCAGCTTGGAAAGTCGCCCAGTTTGGCTCTGCCAGGAGGCTCCCAACCTTTGGATCTAGCCCTCCCTGCCACTCCAGGATTGGGGAAGGCAGCTGGGAATCAGGCCTGCCCTCAGGCCCTCTGGCTCGCTCGTTCCTGGGTTACACCCCCCACAAACCCTCAACAGGTGAACAGTGACAAGGTTTACTGGCAGCGGCAGGACGATGGCAGCTTCAAGATTGTGTACGTGGAGGAGAAGGCCATTGGCACACTCATCATCACGAAAGCCATTGGCTCCAGCATGCGGGAGGACGTCACCCACATCTATAAGCACCCAGAAGGTACTATTCCCCCTAACCTGGCCGGCTCCGGCCCATGCCACGTGTTCCTGCTGAGCACTTGCTCACCCTGCAGTAGCTGTAACTTCACCCTTGACCTTCAACCCCCCAGGCTCAGAAGCAGAGCGGAAGGCAGTGGAGACAGCAGCAGCCCACGGCAGCAAACCCAACGTCTATGCCAACCGGGACACAGCTGAGGACGTGGCCATGCAGGTGGAGGCACAGGACGCAGTGATGGGGCAGGACCTGACCGTCTCCGTGGTGCTGACCAATCGCGGCAGCAGCCGCCGCACCGTGAAGCTGCACCTCTACCTCTCAGTTACCTTCTACACTGGTGTCACCGGGTCCGTGTTCAAGGAGAGCAAGAAGGAAGTGGTGCTGCAGCCAGGGGCCTGTAAGTGCTCCTTCCTGGGCCCTGTTCCCTGGATGGCTGGGCACCTGGGGGCTGTGGACACGGAGACCCTGGGAGGTCAGTCTGGGGAAAGCAGGCCTTGGTGACGCCGTGCTCTTCTCCCCAGCGGACCGTGTGGCCATGCCTGTGGCCTACACAGAATATAAACCCCACCTCGTGGACCAGGGGGCCATGCTGCTCAACGTCTCTGGCCACGTCAAGGAGAGTGGGCAGGTGCTGGCCAAGCAGCATACCTTCCGTCTGCGCACCCCAGACCTCTCCCTCTCAGTGAGTGCGGCTTGCTGGGCGTGAGGGCTTGCCAGGGGCTGAGGGAGATCGGAGGGGAAAGAGAGAGGCCACTAAGCCAGGAGCCATTCCAGGAGGAGAAGTTCAGGGCCTGGCTCTGAGCTCTTGGGCCTCAGGCTCCTCATCTGTAAAATGAGATCATATCCCCAATTCTGTGGTACCTTCACGTGGGGAGTGGGTTGGAGTTTCCTCTCTGGCTTTTGGGGAGCCTTCTCTCAGGGACAGAAATGTGGGACTCGGGGAGGTTTTGACTCCCGAGGAAGGAGTTTTCTCTCTCTGGTGGAGTGTGCGACATGCCACACAATGTGTTTGGCGGGGGTCTCTGATGTGGGGGTGGGCCCCTCTTTTTCTCAGCTGCTGGGAGCAGCCGTGGTTGGCCAGGAGTGCGAAGTGCAGATTGTCTTCAAGAACCCCCTGCCTGTCACCCTCACCAACGTCGTCTTCCGGCTTGAGGGCTCTGGGCTACAGAGACCCAAGATCCTCAACGTGGGGTGAGTCTGGCCTCTCGGCCTGTCCCTGCCGCTGCCCCTGCTGCCTCCCAGGCTGCCCTGGGGCCCGGCTTCACTTCCTTTCTTTGTCAGGATGGGTGCGGTCTGTCAGGCCCAACCAAGCAGCTAGGGGCCAGCCAGCAGTAGCTTTTGACTCAGTTCAGTCCAAGGAGCATTTCAGGAGACCTGCTGTGGGCCTCGCCCTGCCTCCTGTCTCATTAGGGAGCTAAAACTTCCCGAGGGAATCATCAGCACCTCCTCACAAACATGGCTCAGCTCTCAGGAGTTGACCAGCCACTTTCAGGAATATTATCTCATTTGGAAACCACAGAAACCCTTTAAAGGACATTAGAGATCATCCTATGGTTAAAAGCAAAGCTTTGGGATCCTAAAGGCTTGGGTTCGAGTCCCAGCTCCATCACTCACTGCCCTTGGGCAAGTGACTTATCTCCTGTAAGCCTCAGTTTTGTCACCTGGAAAGTGGGGATCACCTGGGGCCCTGGCTCTGAGGGTCGTGGTGAGAATCAGATGAGAGGATGCATGGAAAGTATGTAGCTGGTGTGTGGCACAAAGTCAGGGCTCTGGGGGTAGCGGCCAACCACACTTTACAGATGGCGAGGCTGTGGCCACATCTCACGGGGGCTCATGGCTCATAAGGGGCAGACTCCACTCTTCCTGCCGTGGCACACACCACACATGTGCTCTCAAGCTTGTTGACTGGTTTGTGCCATGAGAGCCGAGCAGCAGTTCCAGAGCACAGGGCCCCTTGCCCCAGGCCCTCACCCAGCCTGCCTGGGCATGATCCTGGGCTAAGTGAGGCTGTGTACCCAATGAGGGCACACACAGTGCTTGTGTTCCTGGCCTGTGCTGTCATCTCTGACACAGACCCGCATATGCTGCCCTGTCTCTTCCCAAGAATGACACAGAGGGAAAGCAGAGAAGGCTAGAGGCTGCACTTTAAGATCAGCTTTCTGGGGACAAGGGGAGGCATTTTCCTCTTTCGACAAAGGCCCGCGTGGAGGGTCTGGGTGGGGGAGGCAGAGGGTCCTGGCCCAGCTGCCCACCCTTCCCCCTCACAGTAGGCTCTGCCTGGTCGTGGCTGCCCCTTCTGTCAACAGGCCAAAGCTGAAAGGGTTGCTCTCCTGATCTTTGCCTCAGCCTGGCCCCTGGATGCAGTGACATGTCTCAGAGGAGTGCTTTCCAGGTGCTGCCCTATAAGGGTCTCTGGCAGCATAGAGAGGGGAGCTTGGGACTCCCAGATAGCTCACCCTGCAGGCAACTCTCACCTGCAGATGCTGGAGGAAGGTTTCCCTGTTCTGAGGGTCCCCCAGAGCTGGACGCCCTTGGCAGCCTCGCCAGACCTTTGATTCTTGCCCCCACCTGGGAGTAAGGAGAGGACCACTGAGCTGAGCACCAGACACCTGGCTCTCTCTTCAGCTGTGGGGCTTTTGTGAGTCTCCTCCCATTTAAAGGCCCCAGTCTTCTTCCCACCAGTAAGTGAGAGGGTTGGATGACGGTTTTTCAAGGCAGGACCTTCTTGGACATTCTGTGCCTCCTCTGCTGCTATGAGCCCAAGCCAGGGCCTTCAGGACAATTGAGAGCCCCAAGGGGGAAATCCCTGAGCTGTGGGTTGGGATATATTAGATTCCAAGATGGGCGTTACTTAGCTCTCATTTGCACATCAAAGGCTGTGGTATGGAACCCCATTATAGCATAAGGTGTGCCACCCAGTGTGGCGACTGGCCACTTAATAAACATTCCAGAACTTACTCCTCCAGACGGCTGTTGTCACCACCAAAGCAGTCACCAGCAGAGGCTGGAAGTCTGTTCCAAACGCTTCTCGGGGATTTTCCCCAGAGCCTGAATCATATCCTCTAGAATGTCCCTTGGGTGGCCTCCTTGGGGGGGTGGTTTTGACTTTGGGGAACCAGCCTAAAGTCATTTAGAGCTAATTCTAATTAATAAGTTAGGCTAACAAGGTGGGCAGTAATGCCCTTTTCAATCAGAAATGAAGTTTGGCTGTAGAGGAGGGCCAAGGAGTTTTTAAAAATGTTTCGAGCGCTGGCAGCGTGGTTGAACAGTGTATAATTGAAGGTCAGTGCTAATTTGGATGTCTAAATTCCGACATCCGTGTCAGGGAGTTGGTTTCATTATCTGTGCTCAGCTACAGGCATATTGTAGCATTCACAGCTAATGAGCTCAGCCTGAACTCGCAAACGGGTGTGGCAAAGGTCTCGCCTGACACCAGGACAGGGGCAGGGAGCGAGCTTGATGTCCCCAGCTGGAACCTGGAAAGCAATTTCTCTTGGAAGTAATGATAAATAAAGGCTAGGTTCTGAAATAGTACAGTCCAATTATAGTAGGGGTTAAATAGACCTGAGAAGGCTGGTCTGAGCCTAAACAACTTTAACTTTGTATCTATGGAAAAGTGGGCACAAATTAAAAACACAAATTTGTAACCAACCAAAGTAGAGACTACCGGTCAAGTTATAGACTTAATTTCTAGTTGTATGTTATGATGGGAAGTCTGGAAATTAAGTCTATAACTTAACAGCTAGGCTATATCTATCTCTCTGCCCACCCCCCCCCCCCCCCCGCCACGCCCATGGAGCTTGGAGGCACCTTCAACACCAGCTGATTCCACCTCCTCATTTGACATTCACTTCCGTTTTACAGACCCAAAAGTGAGGATCAGAGACATTCAGTAACTTCTCCTAAACCACACAGCTAACAGTGATAAACGAAGCAGGACAGAGCAGTCCAGGGAAGCCCCTTGGAAGCAGGTCCAAACGAAATGTTTTGCCCCAAGGAGAGCTCATCCTTGAAGTTGGGGTGCTGGCTTATTCCCTTGTAGGACTGGAGGCATCTGCACAGGGTCTGGCTCCAGAGACGGTCCCCAGGGCAGGCTTGGGTTGAGTAGGGGCCGGAGGTAAAGGTTTAGGCGGGTGCAGGAAAGGACAGAAGCTAACAGGCATGAGCAGATGCGGTGTAAACGCAATCCTGTTCGGTGTCTAAGGTGCGCGTTCAGATTGCCGGAGGAGCTCAGAGAAGGGCGAGATTCATTTTCCTGATGGCAGGGGGTGCTCAAGGGAGCCCTCCCTGAGGAGGTGGTGCGAGCTGGGCCTGGAGAAAGCCCAGGGGCACGGCATGAAAAGGGAGGTGAGTTGAGGGAAGGGAAGGAGCTCGGGGCTGGGGGGCAGGAGGAATAATAATGAGGCGGGGCCAGCAGGTGGGCTGAGTCACAGTGAGCCTGTGTGTCGGGTTAGGGAACTGAGATCTCATCCCGTAAGAACCAAGGAAGCCAAGCCCTTGACGGGTTCAGTTCACCTCCCAGTGGTTAGAGACTAGAATGGAAAAACGAGACGGGGAGGCCAGGAGGCCAGTTAGACAGCTGGTGAAACTGTGATTCCCAGAGAGCTGGTCTGGGAATAGATTTTCAGAGGTCCATGAAGAAGGGAGAAAATGAAGACGCTGTAGTGTGTGTGTAGGGGTGTGTGTGTGTGTGCACGCATGCGTGTGCCTCTCACTCTCTCAATCGCACACACACACACATGCACACGAGAGTGTGTGTCAACTTAAAGATGCCAGTTGTCTATTCTTGGGAAAGACTTTCCTTTTTTTCTGAGATAACATCCTTCTAACGTCTTGGGGTATTAAAATGCTCTTTCTTCTTTGGAAAGACGATCATGGCAGAAGATAATTAATTTCCTTCCACTTTCTTGGCAAAACTGAAAGTATTTGGCAATACTGTGTCGAACCCCAAAGTCTCGTTTCGAAGTTTCCTTGGTCTTGGAAACCCCAGGCGGGATGGGGATGGTCTGGTGAGGCAGGAGCCTCATTGACAGAGAGGGGGAGGCGGGGACAGTCTGTCCAGGTGTTTGTGGGAGCGGGGAGGGAGGAGTCCCGGATGACGCGGAGATTTCCAGCTCAGGCAGCTGGGTGGGTGGCCGCTGATCTGGCTGTGTGGAGGCGGCTGTGGGGGTCAGGCTTTGTCCTGGTCATGGGCGTGGAGATTCCAGCTGAGCCAAGAAATGTCTTAAGGGCCCCACCTTCTGCTCCTGCCTTCCTGGCTGCCCCGTCAGTTCTTACTCCCCACTCCACCCCCAGTCACCCCAGGCCCATGACCCTGTCTCTGCCCACAGGGACATTGGGGGCAATGAGACTGTGACGCTGCGCCAGACGTTCGTGCCTGTGCGACCAGGTCCCCGCCAGCTCATCGCCAGCTTGGACAGTCCACAGCTCTCCCAGGTGCATGGTGTCATCCAGGTGGACGTTGCCCCAGCCCCCGGGGGCGGGAGCTTCTTCTCAGATGCTAGAGGCAACAGTCGCTCAGGAGAGACCATCCCGATGGCTTCTCGAGGTGGGGCTTAGCCCTGGGCCAGGAGCAGTGGGACTGGAGTCGGATGAGCAAGGACACTGCCTCAAGACAGGGGCCCCACACAGAGCGGCTCCCCAGGGGCTCGGGTGGAGAGGCCTGGGCCCCTGGGGAGGGAGCCCATCTTCACTTGCACTGGGTGGCACAGATGCTAGTAATCTGTTTTTTAATGAAGCTGCTGTTCTCTCTATTGATCAGTCCATGCCAGCCCGACGAGTGTGGACCCATGGTCTGTCCCAGGGATGCGTGGGCATTTCTGGCTGCCCTGTTCAGAGAAGCATGGCTGGCAGGGCAGCAAGGGTGCCAGCTCAGCAGCTCTTGAGACAGGGCCTGCTTAGCATGAGGACAGCCTCCAGTGCTTGCCTGACCAGTCTCCTCCCACCCTAGGGGGCTTCTGCTGACCAAAGCCCTTTTGAAACCCCCTGGGTTGGGGTGGGACTGCCCCCCTTCCACGGTACCCACTGTGGGAAAGAAGGACCTAAATTCCTTTTGTAGGCACATGTTTGAGATAGAAATAGGCTGGAGGACTTGCTGAGCAGCAAAGGCCACTTTCCAATATTTGTTTTCAAATATCCTTGTCTAAGAATTTTTACAAAAGTAACACATGTTCAATGTTGAATAGTAAGAAAATAGAGAAAATTGTAAAGAAGAAAATAGCAATGAGCCTCACCCACCACTATGTACAGAAAATAACCATTAACATTGTGTTCAGATGCTGCTTTCCCCCCCACGTAACCTTGGTGAGCATTTCCCCATGACATTAAATATTCTTTGAAAACATCATGTGTAAGACTGGATGATAGTCTCGGCTTCCGGGCCGCCCTCCTGGTCCTCCTGAGTCTCTGACTGCCTTCTCAGTCTTCTTGGCTGGCGCCTCTGCCTCTGCTCAGCCTCGGGCCGTTGGAGTGACTCAGGCCTCCTCTCCAGGCTCTCTCTCATCCAGCTTCACTCTGCCCAGGTGAGCTCTGCCAGTCCCGTGGTTTTAAGGATCACTGGCTCCCCAAATTGTATGTTTTCCTTGAACCTCAAACTTGTATATTTACTGCCTTCTCAACGTCTCTGCTAGATGTCTCACAGACACCCCAAGTGTGACATGTCCAAGATCAAACTCCTGACCTGCCTCCGGCACACCCTCCTGCAGCCCCCTCCATATCAGTAAATGGCAACTCCATCTTTCTGGTTTCTTGGGCCCCAAATCCTGGTGTCTCCCTTGACTCCTTTCTTTCTCTCACATCCCCCATCCAATCTGTCAGCACATCTCAGTGGTTCTATCTCCCGTCCATTTGTGTCCAGAATCTGACCCCTCCTCATCACCCACAGCTGCCACCCTGCCAGAGCTGCCTTCATCTCTCACCTGGATTGCTGGACCCGCTTCCTAGCCATTTCCCCACCTCCGCTCTTGCCCTCTGATACTCTGCTCTTTATGTAGCAGCCGGAATGAACAGGTGACCCCATCGGTTCAATCCTTTGCTCAAAAACCTTCTACTGGCTTCCCCCAAAACCAGAGGCCTTACAGTGCTCTGTGACTCCACCCTCACCTCCCCTCCCCACTCCCCGGGCCTGGTCCATTCCAGGTCGCTGGCCCTACTTTCCTGGACAGAGCCAGGCACACACCTGTTCCAGGGCCTCTGCAGGGCTACGCGCTCTGCCTAAGTTCTTCCCCAGACGGCTCCGTGGTTCGCTCCCTCGTCTCCTTCAAGTCTTGCTTAAGTGCCACATCTCTGTGAGGGCTTCCCTACCATCCCATTCTAAAATTTCAGCACCTTCCACACTCCCTATGCCCCTTTCTGCCTTATTTTTCTCCGCAGCACATATTACCATCTGACATTCTATATATTGAATTCTTTGCATTAGCTGTTTATTATCAAACTCTCTCTACCAGTACTGCCCCATCCTAGTCTAAGCCACCATCCCCCCTCACTTGGATTGAAGCCCCAGCCCTCACTAGCCTGCCTCCCCCACCACCACCCGCCCCCCCCCCCCGCCCCCGCCCTGTCTATTCTCAACTTGGCAGCCAGGGGGATGCTTTTAAATGTCAGTCAGATCATGTCACCAATCCACTCACACCCTCCAGTGCCTCCTCACCTCTTGCAGAATAACAGCCGTGGTTCTCCTTGTGACCCTGGGGGCCCTGCAGGGGTGGTCCTACTCCTCCTATGATCTCAGCCCCCTACCCTCCATCGCTCAGCTTCACCTTTCTTGTTTCTTGAAGCCTCCACCTCAGGGCCTGTGGACTTGCTGTTTCCCCTGCCTGGCACACTCTGCCCCAACACCCACGTGGCTGGCACCCTCCCTGCCTTTGAGGTCGTTCCTCAAATATCACTATCTTAATGAGGCCTTTTCTGGCCGTCCTATTTTAGAGTGCACCCCACTCCCCTCCTCTGTACCACTTTTCCAGCTTTATTTTTCTCCATAGCACTTATCCTCATCCAACATACTATTTTAACCCTGCATCTGTCTAGTGTGTCTCCCCTCCCCCAACTAGAATATAAACTTGTGGAGTATATATCTCGTGATTTTTGTCCAATTTGTTCTTTGCTATATGTTCAGAATTCAGCGCATAGAAATGCCCGCTCGATACTTGCTGAGTGAATAAGAATGGAGGCACTAATCTATTTAGACATAATAACTCATATCATCTTCCCGACAACCTTGTAAGGTAGGCTGTACTTCTGTGCCCCCTCCACAGATGCAGAACTGAGGCAAAAGGGGTTAGGTAATTTGTCCATCGTCATTTAGCCGTCTGGTAGGATTAGAACCGGGGAGTCTGGCTCCACAGCCGATAGTCCGTCTCAGATTGAAAGTGGCCCCACAGGGTCTTAATGCCGCCCCCAAACTGTCTTTCCCCTAGTTGTGCCATCTCATTGTCACTCTAATGACCCAGCCAAAAACCTGTAAGTGGCCACTGATTCCTCCCTTTCCTTTCCTCTAACAGTCGATCCATCAGCAAGTCTTTTTTTTTTCTGCTTTTTTCTCCCCAAATCCTCCCAGCACGTAGTTGTGTATTTTTAGTTGTAGGTCCTTCTAGTTGTGGCACCTGGGACGCCACCTCAATGTGGCCTGATGAGTGGTACTATGTCCGCGCCCAGGATCCAAACCAGCAAAACCCTGGGCCGTGGGGAAGCAGAGCACGCGAACTTAACCACTCGGCCACAGGGCCGGCCCCCATCAGCAAGTCTTATCAGCCCTACTTCCAAAATATGTCTGAACCTGTCACTCTCTCCACGGACGCTGTCACTGTGCTCTCCCGACAGAACTGCTCTACCCTCCTGGTGTGTTTCCACTCTTGTTCTTGAATAATCCAATTTCTACACAGCCAGTGAGCTTTCTGAGCTTTCAATTAAATGCTGGTGCCCTCCTGCTTTAAACCTTCCAGTGCTTTCCCGTCACCCTTGGAACCATCCGAAGTCCTACCCTGCTCCATCTGGCCCCGCGGACCCCTCCACCCTCATATCCACCATGCGCCCCTGGTCCTTCTGCCTCAGCCCCACCGTCCTTCTGCTTCTCAAACTCACCACCCTTCTACCTAAGACTTGGCCCCTTGCTCCTCTTCCGGAGGAACATTCTTCCCCCGTGGGTGGCATGGCCGGTCCCCTCCTCTTGTTCAGGTCTCAGCTTAAATGTCACCACCTCAGGAGGCTGTTCTCTGGCCATGACTCCGGTTAGTCTTCCGGCCTCCCAGTCTCTCCAGCATATCACCCTGTTTATTTCGCCTCCTGCCCAGCACCTATTCTTTCACATCAGCGTGATTGTTTATTGATTAAATTCTGTCTTTTTTCTCTAAAAGGTGAGCTCCATAAGACTTCAGACCTTGTCTGTCTTGTTCACACCCCCATCCCGGGTCCTAGAACAGGGCCTGGTACAGAGCCGCACAGGAAATGTTTGCTACTTACAGATTTAAAAGCAACAATCTGCAAAATGTGACTTATCATTGTTCCTTGATTTATGGAGCAAACTCCAGCGGTTGCACCAAGTTTTTTTTTTTTTTTTAAAGATTTTATTTTTTCCCTTTTTCTCCCCAAAGCCCTCTGGTACATAGTTGTATATTCTTTGTTGTGGGTCCTTCTAGTTGTGGCATGTGGGACGCTGCCTCAGCGTGGTTTGATGAGCAGTGCCATGTCCGCGCCCAGGATTTGAACCAACGAAACACTGGGCCGCCTGCAGCAGAGCGCGCGAACTTAACAACTCGGCCACGGGGCCAGCCCCCCCAAGTTTTTAATAACAAATGAACAAATTCTGTCCCATAGATGTGACCTGATTTATTTGATTAATCCCTCGTTCCTGGAAATGTAAGTCTTCCCAACGTTTGCTATTACACACAGAGCTATGATAAATATCCTTGTACGAGCACATAAATCTTTGCGCTCGTTTTTATTATTCCCTTAAAATAATCTCTTAGAGTGAGAATTACTGGGTAAAGGGATTGAGCGTCTTTAAGGTAGTTGATACATTTTGTTAAATTAGTTTCCAGAAAGATTGAGCAGTAACACAATAGTATCTCTTTTTATTGAGCACCTGGGAGAAAAGGTGAGAGCTTAAGATTTCTCACAATTTTGTAACTTGCTTCACATTTGTTCATTTTACCATGGTCTTCTGTATTTATTAGAGCTTAAAAATACTTGAAATCCGGGGCTGGCCCCGTGGCCGAGTGGTTGGGTTCGCGCGCTCCGCTGCAGGCGGCCCAGTGTTTCGTCGGTTCGAATCCTGGGCGCGGACATGGCACTGCTCGTCGGACCACGCTGGGGCGGCGTCCCGCATGCCACAGCTGGAGGAACCCACAGCAAAGAATGCACAGCTGTGTGCTGGGGGGCTTTGGGGAGAGAAAGGAAAAAATAAAATCTTTCAAAAAAAAAAAATGCTTGAAATCCTCAAAAAGAAAAAAAAAAAAAAGGGAAAGCAGTGCTATTCTCCAAACAGCTGGAGGGAAAGAAACAAATATATGTTGAGCTCCTACTATGAGTTAAGCTCAAACTAGGTGCTTTATGGGGATCATCTGCCTTAGTTCTCTGGAGGAGGGCATTAGGGTCCCTGTTGTACCAGCTCAGTCTGCTCTGGCCTCAGGCCTCTGGTTCCCCTCCCACCAGAATGTGAGCCCCCGGAAGGCAGGGACCTTATCTCTCTTACTCACTGCCGATTCACAGTCCGTGACATGGAGGAGGTGCTCAATTAAATCTGTTGAATGGAAGATGAACTAAAATGGAGGGTGACGGGGAGTCCTGAAGCTTGGGGGAGCAGCCGAGGATTGTGTTTTGGAGCATTTGTGGGAAGAATAGCTGATGGGTGCCTAGAGCCGCTCTGGGACAGAGAGACATGAATGGGTCTCAGGGGAGCTGGATAATGCCCAGCAGAGCTCTTGCTGGGATGGCAGCTCAGAAAACTGTGCTAGGGAAACCTATTTTATGCTGTTTATATTTAGTTATATGATTATTTCCTTTACATCATCCTTTATGGAACAGAGTGCAATTTTTTTTTTTTAAAACAAAGAGAAGGTGATCTTAGTCTTGGTTTTAGGAAATCCACTAGAGTTGTCCTCTTGGTTGGTGGCCCTGGACAATGATGAGCCAGGCATTGTCTCTGAGTCTTGGTGACCTGTTCCGGTTTTCCTAGGACACCTGGTATATAAAGTTGATCATCAGGCAGGAAGTGGATTCTTTGCATCAGTAGCCCAGGGTTTCCTGAGTGTGAAGAACCAGTATTCTCCTTAATTCCCATGCCCCAAGAGTTTCAGTTGGGAAGATTAGTGTGGACTATGGTAGCTTCAATGAAAGCCCAACAGCAGGGAA